AGACTGGCGGCATACGAATGTTTCATGAATCACACGTGAACTCTGTCGTAAGTTAATTTGTGCGCACGGATCTGCGTACGTTTCTACGTTAGATTGATAAATGAGGCCCATTTTGTCTAAAGTTTCTACAGACATTTTGACTTCTTTATAGGGTTAATCACAATTGCATTAAAGGCAGAGTAAGTGATTTTTCAAAAACACTTTAGAAAACTGATTCGGGCCAAATCGCAAAACAAACTTGTAGCCAATCAGCAATAAGGGGCGTGTCTACTCGTGATGTGGAGGAGAGCGCGTTCAGTGCATGGGACGGACATTAGCCGAGCCGAGCGACAGAAAGATAGAGATGGCGGATAAACCCCTGATCTAAATGTCACTGCAACAAAGTTAGTATACATTACCCTGGCTCCACCATTTCTCCAGTAACATTGACCAATGATCCACCTCGCGGGTCATTCGGACCATCGCCAAGCAAGCCTCTGGGTGGGATCCCTGGAGGGCCTTGAGGGGCCCCTCGCATTGGGGCACGTGAGTCTACCATCGGCACTGCGAAAAGAAAGAACATTTACATGAAAACTGATTTTGAAAAATGTGCACACTTTGTCAAGACTCAAAAAAATAATTGGCTATAGAATCAAAATGATGAAAGAAACTAGTGTCAAAGCGCATTACACAAACATTTCAAAACTTGGACATGTCCTTTTATTCAATCAAAGAACATGAATAATAAGGTTGTATTGTCAAGCACATGTTTCGCAGGTATGACACCGTTATGATACACCAAGACAATTCCTGAAGCGTCAAGGAAATTAGACAAAAAGGTTCCACTTCACGAACAAAAGGATATTTTTTCACCTGTCACAGTGACATTGATAACAAAGAGGATTTCAACATCTTTACAAAGTGAAACTCATCGATACTCAGCTCTATTCTGCTGCATTGGCACATTTCATTAGGAAACAAGACTTCATTGTTCAGGTTTTGGAAATGTTACAATAAAAGGTTAAAACTGTTTACAATGTGTTGTCTTTACTCCTCAAGCACTTTTGTTTCAGCGATAATACAGCAGAACACACCTATGTTCCAACACTATTCATGACCATGTGATAATCAGTGATTAGTGCTGTCAACTGTGCCTTTTAAAATGTTTTTGGGGTCAATTGTTTGAACAGTTTCACTTTTCTCTCTAAACATCTATGTGGAATTTTGCACACTCTCTTTGACGCGAATGGACGTTCCATTTACTGCTGTCAAATGACTCAAGAGTGATGCTTAAGGGTAGGAAGAGATTAGTACACTACAAAAGGTGCATGTACGGGTAAAACAATGAGAAGGTGAGACTATTGACAGGCCTGTTCTGAGCAGACCAGCGTTATACCCATGATACCTTGAGGCCGCTCGATAGCAGCCTGCCCAGCTGCTCCCACAGGAGAGTCCAGAAGGTTTCCTGGGTCAGCATTAAGTGAAAAGAACAGGAGAGAGAACTGAGACAGCGCATGGTAGCACTTACTGATATTACCCAGGGATGCTTGTACTGATGTTAATGGACATGGGTTAGAGTAGTGGTCAATATAGGTTTTTAATTGGCTAATGCAGATGCAAATATCTAGGAATCAAAGTGTCCTATATAATGCAATATACCAATATATAAAACTATATATAAAAGTTTGGAGTCGGCAAGATTTTGTAACGTTTTTGAAAAAGTCTCTTATGCACACCAAAGCTCAAATCTATTTGATGAAAATTACAGTAAAAAGTAATATTGTGAACTTTTACAATAAAAAAATGACAATGTAATTTTTTCCTGTGAACTTTCAGCAGCCATTATTCCAGACTACAGCATCACACGATTCTTCAAATATAATTAAAATATGCTGACTTGGTGCTCAACTAATAGTTCTTATTATTACCACAGTAGAAAACAGTGCTACGTAATAGTTTTGTGGCAGTGTTAATTTTGACAGCAAATTTGGATTTAGTTTTAGTCATAGTCTTTTGACTAAAATGCCATTTAGTTTTAGTCATATTTTAGTCATCTGAATTGTTTTTAGTTTTAGTCTAGTTTTAGTCGACTAAATGTCATGAGATTTTAGTCTAATCTACAGTAAATTTAGTCGGCTCAAATCTAATGGGTTTAGTTAAAGTGCATTTATTAAGCATTTCTCTAAAATTTCCAAACTCATTACATAGGTTTGATATTAAGGTTTGATCATGATAGACACCGATTTAACTGCGGTGACACACAACATGCCTTTATTTTTAAAATAAATAAAACCACATTCTTTCAAGCAGACATATTTATTTCTATAAATAAATTTAGATAAATTTTTAGGACTACTAAAGTTTTTCAGTCAAGAGCAGTGCGTGATTTTCTGTCTTTCTTTTGTTGCTTGATTAACATCAATGACTCGGACAATAGCAACTAAATTAGGCTGCTATCCGTTTAAAACCGAATGCACAGCTGCAATGGATGCAATGTACTGATACACGTTCTCCATACTGTTTACCTTCACTTAAACGACGTAATCAACTGTGTTTATGTGAATACTCATCAAAATTGACAATTCGACATCATTTTGTGTGTAATTCTCCATTCAAGCGACGCGAAAGAGTACTCGCGCGCTGTGAGACGCGCTTTCTGTGCGTGTATGCTTCAGTGTGTGCGCTCAGAAATCCGGACCGAATTGAGTTCTCCCTTGCGTCGTCAGATTTATCTATATGTCTGCTCTTCTCTTACTCCCACATATTGAAATTTTTTAATGTTTTATGCGACGTGCAGCAAGTGTATGTTAGCTTATGTCCCGCCGGTTCATATGTACGCATCTAACCTCCGAACCACGCAGCAGATTCGTTCTGAATGAATCTCTTCCCAAATCGTCCCTCCCTAACATTTGTCTCGTTTTTATTCGTTGACGAAAATGTCAATAGATTTACGTCATAGTTTTTGTCATTCAAAGAAAGTTTTAGTTCGTTATCGTCTCATTGTCGTCGGTGAAAAAAAATGTTGTTGACGAAAATCATTCGTCAACGAAATTAACAGTTTTGCGGAAAAGTGAATATATATATATATATATATATATTAGTGCTGTCAATCGATTAATTGATCGTTAATTTAAATGACGATCGATCACGGAAATGATCGAAAATTGACATCCCTAATATATATATATATATTTTATTTTTATTTTTTTTCAAGATTCTTTTACTGTCACTTTTGATTCATTTAATGCATCCTTGCTAAAGGTGTTTAATATAAAGTTTAAATATATTTTTAAAAATGTTACTGACCAACAAACTTTTTATCAGTAGTGCACACACACAAAAATGAGTAAAAAATTTTATAGTTTATATATAATTATATGCCATCTAAATGTTTATGGTTGAGTATCTTGGCACAACAACACTGACCAAACCAAATGTTTGAGAAAATGCAAAAAAAAGCACCTTGAAGAGATGTGAATGAAAATGAAATCACTACATAAAAGCCTGTAAGTGCAGCAGACTTGCTGCCCAATACTGCTCACTTGCGGACATAAATCATGTAGTGATATCATAATTTTCTCACAATGACTGTGAATGTCCTAAATTGTATAAAACAACAATACTACTTCTAAACACTGAGCAAATACTTAATTTGTTGAAAAAACAAATGCTTGTAATGGTAACAAATGTATATGATAAAATACAAACAACAGTCACAGCAATATCAAGTGTATAATCATACAAAAATAATTCTGAATGCCTAAAATGAATACCTGGTCCTCTATCCATCGGCACAGGGCCTCCTGGAGGGATCCCTATCTGAGGTTGCATCCCACCTGTAAAAGGAGAGACCAAAGGTAAACCGCTATAACTATGCACACGCATACATAAGCACCAAAGTAATCCTAGGACAACCAAGCTTACCAGCTGGTCCCATAGGTCCCTGTCCTGGCATTGGTCCGGGTACTCCACCTCCCATCTGTGGAGGCTGCATCATCTGAGGGGCTCCGTTCACATGCATACCTGGCTGTGAGTCAGAAGATCAACAGAAGATTATTCGTTAGCACCATGAATGAGGAGGAACGGCTCGACTGTCCATGAACCCAACTCATGAACCCCAGACACAAGACACAATCTGTGAAAGATTGCGAATGTTATTAAAGCACAAAAAGACTAAAACACCCTACCAATCAAACGCTTGAGGTCAATAATATTTTTTTAAAGAAATTAATACTTCTTTAGTAATGATGCATTGAATTGATCAAAAAAGATAGTACAAATGTTTATAACGTAAAAAGGATTTCCATTTCACGTGTGAAATAAATGCTCTTTTTAATCAAAGAATCACGAAAATAAAAAATGGTTTCCCCAAAAATATTAAGCAGCAGCACAACTGTTTTCAACATTGATAATAATAAGAAATGTTTCTTGAGCAGCAAATCAGCATATTAGAATGAATGATGGATCGTGTGACACTGAAGAATGGAATAATGATGCTGAAAATTCACATGAATAAAAATATTAAAACAGAAAAAAGTTTCTAAATTGTAATAATATTTCACAACATTACTGTTTTACTGTATTTTTGATCAAATAAATGCATGCTTGGTGAGAATACAGAATGAATGATCGTGTGACACTGAAGAATGGAATAATGATGCTGAAAATTCACATGAATAAAAATATTAAAACAGAAAAAGTTTCTAAATTGTAATAATATTTCACAACATTACTGTTTAACTGTATTTTTGATCAAATAAATGCAGGCTTGGTGAGAATACTAGACTTCTTTCAAAAACAGTTGTGTATTAAAACAAACAAGTACTACTATTTAATGCATCTCATGATACAAGTGTTCAGGAAAGGATAAAAGCTGTAATACTGACCATTGGCTGAGGCTGAGAGACAGGCACATTGGGCTGAGGGAGGGGCTGATTAGGTACTGGTACCGCTCCAGGCTGAGGACTTGGGTTTATGGGCTGAACCACAGCTGGACGGTGGAGCATTTTCTATGAGAATAACAGATGATTTTTCTCTTGATCTTTATATGGCTTAAAATGCCACACATTCAAAAACAGATAAAAACTACTGTCACAATCCCTGTTATTTGCAAGAATGTTTAAGGAGGTTAATAGGATGTTCTCAGTCTTTTCCATTCCTGTACTAAGACACTTTCCATTTCTCTATAGTGCGTTGCTACAGAGGCATTTCATGATCTTACCAGAGCGATTTCAGGGTCCACAATCCTCATGACCACCTGAGCCTGCAGTAGGGCATAAGCGAGCTGAGGGTTCTGCAGGAGCATGTTCCTGGCCTCCTGGGGACTGTTCTGCACACATAGCTGAACAAACAAGAACAGGACGATAAATCGAACAACCACATTTTTAAGATCCGTAAGGCTTCAAATAAACAATTAATGATACTTTTTGCAAAAATATTTTGCATCCGAAAGTGGAAGCACTTCAAAATTCTTCCCCCATTTGCAACAGCACTATGAACTGCTGTACGAGTGTTGCAGCAGCTGGTTGGCAGCAGTAATGACAGACTTTTTTTTTTATTTTAAGACGGAGCCAAAGTTTGTTCAGTAAACCACTGTTTAAAAAAAAAGGAAGAAAAAAAGGTATTTTTTTATTTTTCTCTGTCTTAACATACCAAACAATGATTTAAATATCAAAGTATGTACCGAACTGACTTTTTTCAAATCGAATTATTGGAAACAATAAGATTACTAGCAGTTAAAGGAATAAACTGCCCAAAAATAGAAATTATGTCATCATTTACTCTCCCTCATGTCATTTCACATCTGTATTACTTTTGTTTATCTTCTAAATAAAGATATTTTTACCAAAATCAGAGAGATTTCTGTGGCTCCATTGAAAGTCCACAACTTTTAAAAGTTAATAAAAACATCAAATTAATCCATTTGAATCTAAGCAGTTAGATCCGTCTTCTGAATTAAAAACATCGCTTTTTTTAATGAAAATATGTAATTTAAGGTTTTATGCACATATAACCCTTAATCTACACAGATACAAAAGGTTTGTCTTCTACAAACTTTTTTGCAACTTTAAAGTTTTGAATGAATGGACTGTCAATAGAGGAATAGGAAATTTTCCCAATTTCATTAAAAAAATATATGCATTTCAAAAATAAACAAAAGCCTTACGAATCTGAAACAAGGTGAGGGTAGGTAAATTATGATTTTTGTTTTTGTTTTTTGTGAACTAATCCTTTAAAGGGGTCATATGATGCGATTTCAAGTTTTTTTTCCTTTCTCTTTGGAGTGTTACAAGCTGTTCGTGAATAGATAAGATCCCTAAAGTTGCAAAGACTAAAGTCTCAAATCCAAAGAGATATTCTTTATAAAAGTTAAGTTGAGGTATTCGGCCAATCATAATGCACTGGATAGCTGGCCAATCACAGCACACCTCGCTTTTCAGACCGATGAGCTTTGTAAAAATCGACGCGTTTCAGAAAGGCGGGGCATAGAGGAGAAACAATAATGTACAGTATGTGGAAAATAATGTGTTTTTTTAACCTTAAACCGCATAAACACATTTCATTACACCAAATACACAAATGTTCTTTTTAGCAACATCATATGACCCCTTTAAGTAACTTGCTTTCTACATGTATTTTAGACCCTCTTGATCGGAAACTTCAGTCTTAAATTTAACAGGCCACTTTCCTATACTCACCTTCATCTGTTTCATTAGCTCAAACATCTGCTCGGGAGGCAGACTGGCTACTGCCCTGCTAATGGACTCTGGGGCTTCTTCTGGTGTGCAGCCGTCTCCAAAAGGGGACTCAATAATTGGAGCTCCAGTCCCCAAACCTGTGGAAAAAAGCATGCAGGTCAAACAAAATGGCCATTTCTAGTACGAAAGATTTAAAAATCAAAAACTCAAACTGCCTTGTAATATTTAATAGAATATTACACTTTAAAACGCAAACTTACTTTTGAGCTCCTCTTTATTTTTCTCACTAGCAGCGTTATCGACGCGGAGGGCCCTGCCACTAAACTCTCTGCCATTCAGGTTGCGCATGGCACTGAGCGCCGTCTCCTGATCCTGGTACTCACAAAAGCCATATCCCTTTGGCTTACCTGTTTCTCTGTCATACACCAACCTGCAAGAAGTGGTTTTTTTTTTTGGTTTTTTTTGATAAGCACTAGGTTTCCTCTAAAGTGACCAAAGCATGCTGTTTCAAGCATTATTGTGCATACCTAAAACTGACGACAAGTCCAACCTCTGAGAAGATGTCTTTCAGCTGCTCCTCTGTGGCCTCATATGGGATGTTTCCCACTATTACCAAAATACAAACAATAAGGCAAATATAGAACCATGGTGCAAACTGGTTTACTGTAGCAGCATCTGTTTTGAAGCTCAACACGTTGTTTTATTGGTGATATGCTACTTTTTACCACTTACACCACTGCATCAGTCCATCCATATCTGCAGTAGTTTTTCACCTATTGATTGTGTAAACGTGAGCATGTATGTAAAATTTGCAAATAATACGATTTCTAATAATAATTTATAAGTCTAGCAAATATATACTGTAAAATAAGGTGTTACATAATCTTATTCCAGAGTTTTAGTTGTCACTAACTGTAGGTGAGTGAGGTTTAGCTTAGCAGCTATTGAAACTTGTGAATAGTAACGTTAGATGTAAGAAACAAACTAACCTAATCTCTTCATACATACCGAAAACTGAGCGTAACGAGCGGTCCACGGCCGGGTCTCTGGCAGCTGCAGCTGCCGCAGCAACTGCTGAATTCGCCATATATTCAATGATAAAATTACAGCTAACACGATAAATGACCAACATAGACCGATGAGAAGCCAGAGTCCGTGTAGTAAAAATAAAGATGGCGCTACACGACCGGTGCGTTGATATTTCAAAATAAGAGTCCGAAGACGCCCTTTATCCAGCATTTAAACTGCTAAAGTATCTCGCTGTCAGAAATATTTTATCATTATTCAGTGCACAACAAGATTATATAGCATCATAAACAACGTACAAGAGAAAAGAAACCCAAAAAAGGAGAATTAAAAATGCATAGTGAATAAAAATAAAAATGCAATATAATACTAATATAATTAATAAAATAATAATATGATTAGGCATATAAATAATTCAAATAAAATACTAAGCTCACAATATTTTTTTATTAATATAATATATCATATTTTCAATGTACTGCCTGGTTGGCCTTTAGCCAAGATTAATATTAATTCAATAATCCACAATTTTTCTTCTTCCTTAGAATAATATGTGAAGTCAAGAAATATACTACATTTTCCCACTATATGCAGGTCCTGAATGTTCTATTTAATACGTCAGTGGTGTAAAACGAAATTTTATGTTACCATGTTAATGCAATGTTACATTTTTAAGGAATGAAAGCAAATAGAGCAGTTTTCTTGATGCCACATGTTCTCCGGACACAGAATTGCTGTAAACGCCCTTCATAACCAAGAACTTTTAAAGAAAACAAAAGTAAATATCTCTGAAGAGTGAGAATCACTACTCAATGTGGCAGTACAAATGTTTTATATCCACTGACAATTGTTTTGACAACAAATTAAAAAATGTTCACAGTGGGAGCTCAGTAGGGGGCCCGACCTAAACATCAACCTAAATATCTCAGAGAAATGTTTCTCAACCCTGTCGCCCTTAGCTCGCTCACTAGAGGGCTGCGTGGCACTATTTTTCTTTTCGTTTCCTTTTGTTTTCTTTTCTGTTGTCTGTAAAGCTTCTTTAGAACAGCATGTATTACAAAATCTCTATACAAATAAAATACAAATTGAAATATTAATTATAATTACAAATTAAAACGTACTTTAAGTAAAGTTCTGGATTTTTTCTCCATGCAGATTAAGAAATATTTTTCACATGTTGCACTATATCTTGATTTGTGTCTTTTTTTAGCTGCTTTAGATTAAATTATTTTAACATATTATTTTAAATAATTTAAAAGGAATACATCACTCAAAAATAAAAATAATTTACCTATCCAAATGTTTTATGAATCCTCAATGGTCTTCTTTTATTGTACAGTATACAAAACACACAGATTTTCAATTCAAAGCCATTGTTCAAAGCTATTGTATGACTTCAGAAGACTTGAGTCAGACTTTTTTTATAATACTTTCATGGTACTTCTGTGCCCTTCTTGCAGTCTAACAGCCTCTGGTCCCTATTCACTTTCACTATATTGAAATAACAGCATGAGCATTTCTCAAAAAACAAATCTTGTATTTTGTTTCACAAAAGTAATGTGGAAAATGGGTTTGGAACAAAATTTCCATTTATTATTTTATGTGTGAACTTTTCCTTGCAAACATCTAATGAGTTTTGGCATCACCGGTTACTGCAGTATAGAGTCTATCTGACACTGATTAAGAACTTTCTTTTATAAAGTATTGTTTGTGAAAAAAAAAAAAAAAAAGAATCTCACTACATGCATTTAGTGTTGCGACCACATGGATTTTGACTTGTTCTTGCAATATACTGTAAATTGATCTGAGTAACATCATACTGTCTTGTCAGTCTTTTGTTTTGTCAGTTTACTTAGTACTAGTACAGCAGGACCAATATATTTTTTTTGTTAAGATATTTTATCTTATTACAGATATATTCATCAAGAACATGTTAATTGTTTTGTTTGTTATTTACTAGCACTGTAAATCATGTAATATGTTCCTTCAGAACCTTGGACAGCTCCAGTCCTGATATGAAAACAAGAAATTGCAAAGACATGATAAGCTATAACTATCAGTTTTCTGTCAATCTGTTTAGTTAGGACAATTTCATCCCCTTTCTTGTCTATAAACCACAAATGAAAAGCAGAAAATTCTTCATTGTTCAGCAATTATTTTGCTCATCATTATGGAGAGTGGAAATTTGATACTATAAACAAATTTATCACAACATCACAGTAATGCTTACAAATGTGGATTAGAGCAACATCTTTCCAAAAGTGATATAGATTATTTTAAATAGTGTTCTAGGTTATTTTATTGGGATAAAAGAGGTCTGGAACTAAACATATACAGAATATTATTTATACTTATTAATACTTAATTTATTAAAATTATTAGTAATTAATAATACTTATTTATCACAACAATTGACAGAAATGTTTTTGTTAGTTGCCATTTGATTTGTGTGGAAACTGTCATGGTACATATAGAAAGCTTCATATTTAGCCTATAAATGAATGCACATTCTAGCATACTAGGATGTCATATGAACAAACCCAATTTCGGTTCTAAAAATATTGAATATCAGTTTCATGTTCATGTTATGCCATTACTAAAATTGGTCAAAGGAAATTGTATTGAGAAATTTATTAAATGTAAGAGAATGTGCATAAAAGAGCTCTTGATACACCACCATTGAATTTTCTTTTTTTTTTCAGCGCCAGTTATAATTTTATAGAGATCTTCAGCTGATAACATATTTTAGAGGTGTTACTGGGAATCTAAAAGATAAAAGGTACATATTTGTGTGAAAAAGTGAAAAGTGATATAACATGTGGCCAAATATGGTGACCCATACTCGGAATTAGTGCTCTGCATTTATCCCATCCAAAGTGCACACACACAGCAGTGAACAAACACACACACCGTGAACACACACCCGGAGCAGTGGGCAGCCATTTTTTTGCTTTTACTTATTCTACTTATACTTTTACTCATTTGTACCTTATTTACCCCTAAATAGTGCATATTAGTACATTAAAGGTACATAATAGTACTGTAAAGTACATATTAGTAGTTAAAAACGTTTTGTCTCTGCTCTGTTGAAAGTTTTGGATACTTTTATCCAAACAATGTTACAGTGCATTTAATGTATAGCCTAGTTTGTGCTTTCCCTGGTTATCAAACTGATCTTGATAACCAGGGAAAGCATTGCAGCACCATGTAACCGATAAGTACTTATTTTATGAGGAAGTCTGCTAAAGTCTACTTTAATTGGAGACTGAATTTGTTGGAACAGCAGTCAAGCAGAAATGCGTGATGCTGGGTCCGCATTAACAGCAGGGGTCGCACAAACACTATTTTTGACTTCACACTAGCATGTTGCTTGTCACCGTCATTAACCAAATGATTTTATTTACAGTTTAGCTAATGACGTTGCAATTTGCCTCATTTTTCTACCAAATTATACAAATATGATTTATTTTTAGCACGCAGAGTTCCTTTTTCATATAGCTATCTGCGTAGAATTAGCGTCATAGACAAAACGCGTACATGGTCAATTGAAACCAGTTCACAAGGAAACGCTACGATCCTTCAGGTGCCACGAGTCGTTGAATGTACCAAATCTCTACAACTGTGACACGAAAAACGCTTGGTTCCACTGGGGCTCGAACCCAGGACCTTCTGCGTGTAAAGCAGACGTGATAACCACTACACTATGGAACCGCTTGTTTCGTGTACTCGACATTACCAAATTGGCCGGTCTCATTACCGCTAATGAATTAAGCCACCGCCTCGAATTTAACAGAACATAAGAGTCTTTGTTTGGACGTGTTGTTGAGGTTGGCTCTGTTTACTTATCATTTCACACTTGGTCACTTGCTATCGTTGGTTACTTGCTTGTGCAATTCAGTTCAGACCTTCAGCGAGGGGTCAGAGCGCCATGCGTTCTGTGGGAACCAAAGTCATCCTAAGTCTGACCAAAGTAGAAGACAACTTTGTTGTATAAATTGCATTAAATTGTAAATGTTTCTTATCTTACTTAATAATATTTTTATTTGTAACGTACAAAACGCTCAATCCACCCATTTAAATAACCATAAATTAGATTTAAAGGGCACTATGTGAAATTAAATAAATAAAACACACTTTGTTAGGCCTGTGGTTGCTGATCTATCTATCTATCTATCTATCTATCTATCTCAGGATTAACCAGTATAAATGAAAGCATCAGTTGACATCAAACCTCAGATATTTTCAGAAGAATTTTTCAATGACACTGTGGGGTTAATATGCAAACAGCTCAATATATTCTCTTCATTACATTGCTTTGGGCAAAATGGATGCATAAAGCTTGATGCACTTTTGAATTAAAAATCACATCACTGTTTCTCGTTTTACCATAAGCATTCTTGTGAAAGCTTAGACTTCTGTTATTTTGGCTGCTTTATGTCAAATAAGAGTTTATGTTTGAAGAGTTTGACAAAGGTTTGACCTTTTTTTGTCAAGTTATTATAAAAAACAAAATATTGTATGTAAGGTAATTAGGCATTGGGGGTTCTGCATAAAGATTAAAAGGACCAGAGTAAAGAACTGCAAAAGACAGTCACTGAATCATGGCAATTTCTTTCATTTACACCCCTAGTGTTTGAATTCTTTAACACCTCTCAGTTTCTGAAAGATAAGCAATTACCCTGCTACCACAGGCCCGTGTAATGTGCAAAGTTTTCTGCTTGGTTTCACTCGCTTTAAGACCCTGATTTTACAGCATAGCCAAAAAGCTAAGATAGTGCAGTCTCAAATGCACGCACAAAAAAAAATGACGATTAGTCACTAATTGCTTTTACCCCCCTGGAAATTAAGTCTATGCCATTGTTAGTTATAAATAAATAACTGCACTATTTAATTGCTGCTGTTGTTTGTATCAATACAAGAACCTATTTAACGTAGCAGGTATTTAAAACAAATTTCTTTGTAAGCTCCCTCTTGTTGCAGATGTGAGATGTAATGTCCAAATAATGAGAAATTACACTGTAAATAAGAGAAATAAAGCTGCAATTAGCCTACAATATGAACACATAATGTATATAAAACATTGCAACAAGGTACCACGACAACATTAAAGCTGCAATAAAGTATTCTGTTTCAGATTTCTTAATTTATTTCACTTCTC